ATGCCCCAAGGGCTGTTTCCACTGGCTGCAGAAAGGTGCCCAGCCCTTAGGAGCCACCACCAGCTTCAGTCTGTCAACAGCAACATAAGAAATCACTCTTCAGTCCCCAAAAGGAAGGAGACCTGTTCCTCCTAAAAAGGGGCAGGTGTGAGGTGTCACCCAGTGGCCTCATGATACCTAAAGGACTTGCACACAGTGCCCCCCTTCCATCTCGGGGCTCTATGGCCGGCCCGGAGGCACTGCCGCAGGGTGGACACGGACCCCCACGCCCTGAGGTCCCGAGGTTGGGGCCACCACTGGGATGGAGGCCACGGCGGGCAGCGAAGCACCTTCCCAGGAGAGGAAAAGGCTGTGGGGGCAGGAGGTGCCTCATCATTTTTGTCCATTTTGGGGGCTTTTGAACAAGGCCCCTTGGGGGTCTGGTCAGGGTTTCTGGAGATGAGGAAAGATCTGAGTCTTGGCAAGAAGGTGGCATGCTGGGGCCAAAGATGACATCGGTGTTTTCCCCAAGGGGTCAGGAACTGGACAAGATCCTGTCAGGGACGAGGATGTAGACCCCACGGCCGAGGCCCTTACCCCAAGACTGCGCTCATCCCAGAAGCCCTCAGTGCCCTGCGCCCCTCGGCCAGAGCACAGTGCAGGGTTGGAGTGAGCCCACGCGCCCTAGCGCGGGGCTCTGGCGGTGGAGCCCTGTCTCGCCCCCCTGCATCACCCGCCCCCCTGCATCACCCGCCCTGTGCTTGCTGTTCCTTCTCCCAGCTTGTGGAGTGCGGGGTGGAACACAGCACCCCACACCCGAGGAGCCGTCAGCCCCTGCCACCCCTTTCTTTGGTGGGAGTGTGCTCAGAGCTGAGCACACCTGTGACATCTGCGATCCTGCCTGTGATGCCATCCTGCCTGCACCGCAACCCCCACTAGGGAGACCTGGGTCCCCCAAGGCTGCCTTTGCTCAAAGCACTCAGCGAAGGGGGTTCAAACGGAACCAGCAATTACTTCAAAATAAAAGTGTTTCTTTGTGAATGTTTGAAAATTTTAAACGGTTCATTGTGCTGCAGGGAATGCTCAGACTCGGGCCTGGGGGCGTCCGGTGCTGTGGGAACGCCTGGGACAGCGGTTCTCAGCCAGTGCCATGGAAGCAGTGGTGTGCTGGGGGTTCTCAATGCCTGGACGTGACCAGGAGCTGGGACAGCTGCCCACAAGCGTGGCACCACATGGTAAAAACCACTTTGGCCCGAAGGACGACAGTGCCTGTTGAGAATCACTGTAGAGTTAAAAATGAGAAGCTTCATCTGGGATCTGATGAGTACACGTGAGCAACTTTAAAGACAAAGGCAGAGGTCCTGGACGCAGCAAGGTTCGCCTGCTGTCACCGAATAACGAAAACGCAGCCCGAGACGTGGAATTGATCATTTAATGTCAGTGCGAAGAGCTGCTCTTGCCGAGCACCTGCTTCGGTCTTGGTGTGGAGCTGGCAGGGGCCAGCCTGTGCCAGACTAGGTCAAGGGCACGCAGTAAGCACTCGGCAGGAGGCGCTCGTAATCAGTGGGAGAGGAAACGGGCCCACGTCGGCCCTGTCTTGCTGAAGGACCCTCTTGCCCACCGGGCAGAGGCTGCCCACTGCCTGGCACACAGCAGGCATTCAAGACTACCTGTTGGGTCTTCCAACAGTTGAGAGTGGGGTGGTGGGTGGGAGGCCTGCCAGGGCCAGCTGGGTCTTACAGCCCTTTGGATTCAGTGACAGAGGAGTGAACAGTCTGGTTGTGGGTGGCTGCAGGCCCTGTTCAGGAGCAGTGCGGTCCCCCGGCACCCGCCTGCTTGTGGCCATGCCAATGTACCCACAGTACCCACATGGCAGGGCGAGACGGCAGCGGGCCAAGCCTTGCCAGTCCTCAGAAGGCACCTGCAGGCCAGGCTGTTTCAGCCCATTGTAGAGGTGGCCGCTGGGTGTGCGGAGGTGTGGTCTGCCCACCTGGCAGAGCCGGGAGAGGCAGAGCAGGAACTCGGCAGTCTCCACGTGAGCGCCACCGCCGCATCTTCTCCCAGCATTCAAACACGTTTCAAGGAGGTGTGGACTGTTGGGTAAAGAAATACTCCTTTTTAGTGCTTTTGATGTGGCGTTCTAAGCACTCTGCAGACAACCCTCCCAAGTGCTGGAGGAGGCGGCCCGGAGGGAGGGCAAAGCAGGCACAGCACACGGCCTCCTGGCGGAGGACAGGCCAGCCTCGGCCCACTGCAGCCCCGCGGTCATGGGGAGACCCCTACAGGTCCTGGTCCGTGTCCTCGGCAGCCGCCAGCACGTCCACGTGACTGTAGGACTTCCAGGCCTGCAGGTTGCAGCTCTTCAGGATGGTTCCCAGCTGCTTCCCAGGCCCCACTTCAAAAGTTTGGGGGAACTCGGTGCCCTTTCTCCTCTGGTAGATGGCGTGCATCGTCTGCTCCCACTTCACTGGGGAGACCACCTGCTGGACCAGCAGCTTCTGGATGTGTTTTGGGTGCGTGTACCTATTCCCGCTGACGTTCGAGTGCACGGGAACCAGGGGCTTCTTGACATCAATCGCTTTTAACGCCTGCGCCAGGGGCTCCACGGCGGGCTCCATGAGGCGAGTGTGGAACCCACCGCTGACCAGCAGCCTCTTGGTGCGTCTGAAGTGATACTTAGAGGAATTCTTCTGGAGAAACTGCAGAGCCTGGAAGGAAGAAAAGGAGGGTTAAGCCAAGTAACTCTTAGGGGAAGAACAAGCAGACACCGTCGGCGCCATCACAGTCCTGTGTATAGAACATGCTTATCTGCACAATGTACACTCATTTCATCCTGCACAGCCAGGTGACGAACTCAATTCCCTTCGTTCCAGTTAAAGTCAGTCACGTAGTCAGTGTCCCAGAAGCCTTCCTCTGGGGATCTGACCATTCACCGTTACAAGGTTGCAGGGACGTGATCAGATAGGAGGTGTGCACGTGTCTGATAAAAAAGCACTACCTAGTGTCAGTTTTCAGTCATAATTCTGCTGTCCCTCAGAATTTTCCGTACCCTGTTCCTGTGTTACTACATAACCTTCAAGAGAAAACTTCAGGAGACTCCAAGTCTCATTTCCCACGGCAGGGGCTTTTCCCTCAGAAGCCCCTCGTCTGGGGCTTCTCCGGAGAACCAGAGCCTCTCCCTGAAGCCACAGCCTGCCCCTGAAGGGGCCTCCGGACTAACAGCCCCAACCAGGAGCTGTCTGCAAATACTTCGATTTGCAAACGTCTTTAAAACAGCAGACACTCTTACTCAGGACAACAGCCCAGGGCCTACCGCCTGACAGCCCTCCACCAGGGCTGCTGAAGGGGTTCCTGTGCACTAAGCTGCCTGCCATGTCCCTTCACCCCGACACCCGCCTCAGAGGCTGGGCCAGCTGCTCCCTGGAAGACTTAGGATAAGCCTTGAAAAGGCTGCGCAGCTGCATGACCTTCGGCAGTTCTACTTTACTCTCGTGCCTCAGTTTCCTCATCTATACAATGGGGACAACAGCATCCATCTCACAGAACCGTGTTAAGGAGAACTGTGCTTGGTACACGAGTGCTGTGAGGGCTGGCAATTATCGCACACCACGCCCATCCGTGTCCCCTGGAAAAAATATACCAGAGTAGCTATCCGTGCCCCCGGGGTCGGAGGGGCTACTACTCTTGGTGGCATGGTGCTGGCTCGGCCATCTCTGGGGGCCCCTCCCTGCGGGAGTGCACCCTGCCCGCCCTCCCAGTCACGGCCAGTGCAGCCCCTAGCCCCCAACCGCCCACCCAGGCCGCTCTGTGTTCCCCAGAGGCTGCCCCAGTGGCCGGAGCCCTGGAGCAAAGGTGAGGCGGTGCAGACTCCAGCACAGTGAACCCTACTGTACCTCACCTGTGGGAACCCCTGGGTTTGGGCTGTCACTGCAGTAGCCTAGCCTGTCCTGACTGGCCCGATGCTTCATGCCCATGACCACCCTCCATCCATCTCTCTCACTTACGGACATGGCCCAGGAGCGACTCTGGACAGAGGCCTCTCGGACTCCACAGCCCAGGCCCTGCCACCCTTGCCGGGATGGCCGTGACCGCCAGCATCTATGTGGATGGCTACTCGGTGGCACTTCTGCATCAATTCATGTCTCGAAGTGCTTTCCACGCAAAGTCTCCGAACTCATCCGACTCAATGCCAGGCGAGGGCCACAGCCGCAGGGTCCAGCGGGCGCCTCTGCGCTGGCCCTCAGCTCAGGCATAGTCCAGCAGAGGCCACGAAGTTTTTTCACATCAATTATGGGAGTGAGGACCCCTGTTCAGGGGGACCCCTGCCCTCACCTGAGCTCTTTGCTATGGCATTTCCACCACCAAAACGCCGAACCTGGAAACCGGGGAAGTCGTCACCCGGGCCGGGTGCCTACCTGTCGGGGAGCCCGTGAGGGAGGCTGTGCCCTGGCTGGGGGCCCTTGTGGCCCATATCTGGGCTTCATCCCACAGCCATTCATGGGGACGAGCAGCCAGCTCCACGAGTAACTCGGGGGCCACTGTGGCTGATCTCTCCTCAAGACTGTCCCAACAGGGACCTGTTGGCTGTCGCTGATTCACAGGAGACACCCAGGGACACCTGGTACACTGGCAAGGCCTTAACGGGCAAGGTGAAGCGAGCGCGGTCAAGCAGAAGAAACAGGTTCCAGAGTGACAGACCATGAAGATGCCCCCCATACCCGAGCGCAGGGCTGGCTGTGAGGACGATACCCGCAGCTGCTCACTTACGGTCCCGTCTGCGCTCAGCATGCCGAGCCAGGCACACAGGATGCAGCTGTCCGTCTACCAGGTGCACCCTGCCCCCCCCCACCCCATGCAGGGGACGCCCCGCCAGGCATCACCCCTTGGGGCCACCTCCTCAGGTCCGCGGGTGGTCACCCTGACGTGGACTGTGCCACGAAGCCTGTGCTCGCTGGTTTACAGCTGGCCTTCCTCTGATGGCGGGAACCCTGGCTTACCAGCCACGTGTGCCCTCAGTGCTTGCCACATGGGAGCTGCTCAAGAAATGACTGGGGAAATGTGAACAGAAAGGCCAGAGCAGAGGAAGTTAACTCGGTGCATCTAAGCACAAGCAGGGCAGGGCGCAGTAACCCAGCAGGAAATGTTCTCTCTATAAGCGGCCAGATCAGAGGCTGTGAGAAGCCCAGAATGTTCTCCAGGAGGGCCCTGGAGATCATCTGGTCCAGCTCTTTACTTTCCAGATGGGCTGGGCGATTTGCCCAAGGTCCCGGTCTATACGTGGTGAAGCAGAGGCAGTGCCCCGGCCTCCCAGCTCCCTCTGCGGTCACTCCACCACACTCTCCGGGCCCGCAAGCACCTCCCAAAGACCACAGCTCGGCAGGGCACCCACGACGCTACTGTGGGCTCACACGCGTGGAACTATTCCAACCTTCTGCACAGGACTGGGGCCTACGAAAGCTGTTCCCGTCAACACCAACCTCCAGGTGTCCTGAAATCACCCTGCAATCTGGAAAGAGGTAGTTGGCCACCTCGCACACAGGATTCTCTATGCCCAAAGTCTTGCAGTGCTCCCGGGCTTCCGAACAGGCGAATGTAAACTTGGACTGAGGCTGGCCGAGGACGGACAACATCCCACTGGGGACGGCTTCTGAGGCTTCCTGCATGGCCTCAGCTCGGACTTTCACTGCATACAAACCTATCCAGAGAGAAGTGCATTTGGAAAAATCAGGGCGCGTAATGGGGAAGGAAGCCCAGACCTAAAAGACAAAGCACGAGTTCCACATTTTGTGTTGGGGACATTGACACTGGCCTTTACCACTAGGCCACACGTCTGTAGTTCTGTGTGTCTGGTCTACCACAGAGAGATGCACCATCATCAAAAGCAAGGTGTTGTCCTTGGCACTACACAGATTAACCCATGGAGCTTCCTGCCTTAGAGCTGGCTTGGTGTAGGGCTTGATCAGGAGTGATTTTGCCCCTAGGGTAGTGTCTAGAGACATTTTTTGATTGTCACAACTAGAAGTTGGGGCTATTAGCATCGGGTGGGTAGAGGCCAAGGTGGCTACTTGCAAAGCATCCCCAAAACAAAGAATTATCTGGTCCAAAATGTCAACAGTGCCGTGGTGAGAAGCCCTGGTGTAGGGTGGACTGGGACCAGCTTTCGGGCTACATTGCTTTGGGCAAGTCGTGACCTCCTTCGTAGTCAGTAAAATGAGGATAACAGGATCCAGTCTGCCTGAATGGTTGTGAACAGTAGCAGTTACTACTAATTAGTTTATTACCAAAGAGAAATCATGCTGAAGAGGAAAAATAAGAGCCATCGGATATTTGGAATGACGTGCAAACTACAATTACATAATTTCAATAACGTATAGTCGTGACTCAGGCCTTACTGCCCTTAGAGCTGGAGACGCTGACACCGCCAAGGACGATGCACTAAGGCACAGGGCTCCTAGTTCAGTGCGGCTCCAATGCTAGGGGAGAGGACAGGCCTGGACCCAGGTAGGCAACTCCCATGACCTTGACATATGAACGCCCATTGACCGGGTCCTGGGTCTGCTTCCCGGTGGGAAGTGGGTGACCAGACCAAGGAGAGGTTCGGGGACCAGTTCTGGGTTTGATGGAACAAGAGAGACGGTGTGAGGAGCAAATTGTACAGCTTGCCCATGGAAGCATCTCCTTCCCTCAGCACTTACATACGTGTTTGTACTGGACTCAGCCCCAACCATTGTGGCAGGTCCACTAGGAGCCCATGGTAGGAGGGAGGAGAGAAGCACAGGGATGTGGCGAGTGCGTGTGGCAATCCTCCCACGCAGGCTCAGTAAATAACTATGCAACATGGCAAGTGAGAAAACTGAACACAGAAGTACACATGCTGGAATTCTGCAAATTATGTACACAGGAACTGTATGTATAAAAGTTTTATCAGGACGTGGAAATATGAAAAATTTTTTCACTTCCTTAATACTATTTTTTTTAAAAGTGAGGTGAAATTCACATAAAATATAACCAGTTTAAAGAATAGAATTCAGTGGCACTTGTTGTATTCATAATGCTGTGTGACCACCAGCTCTAGTTTTAAACTTTCCTCCATCCCATAAAACACCCATACCTGCTAAGTGTAATCACTCCCCATTCGTCCTTCCCTGCACCCTGGTAACCACGAATCCGCTGTCCCTATGGATTTGCCCATTCTGGACACTTCACATAAAAGGGATCCCACAATACGTTATCTCTGTGTCTAGCTCCTTCCACTCAGCATGTTTTTGAGGTTCATGTCACAACATGCGTGAGTACTTCATTTTTTTAAATTCCTGAATAATATTCCATTATATAGATATACAATTTGCTTATTTGTTCATCTGATAATGAACATTTGGTTTCCATCTTTTGATTATTATGAATAATGCTGTTATAACATCTGTGTACAAGTTTTTCTGTGTGGACATATTTCCACATTTCACTTTTTGAGGAACCACCAAACTATTTTCCAAAGTAGCCACACCATTTTACATTCTTACCAGCAATGTGTGAGGTTCCTGTTTTTCCACATCTTCACCAATGCTTATTTTTTTGTTTTGTTTTGTTTTAAATTAAAGCCATCTCAGTGGGTGTGAAGTGGTATCTCATGGTGGTTTTGATTAGTGATGTTGCACATCTTCTCATGTGCTTATTGGCCATTTGCATGTCTTCTTTGGAGAAATATCTATTTAAGTTCTTTGCCTATATTTGATTATAAGCAATATGTTTAACTTTTAACTATAAGCAAAACCCTTAAGTGAAACTGCTATGACTCAAGATCAAACATTCATTTACTCTTTTTCAATGACTACTGAGCATCTACCACATGACAGGTGCTGAAGGTGAGTGGACTACGAATGCCTAAGACAGTGGGAAAGGCAGCCAAGCAAGCAGATTTTATGAGATTACACAAAGAGAGGAAATCCCTGATGAATCCTTCAGGCTTAGAAGGGAATCAAGGTGAAGTCTGGTCCTAGGGTTCCAATGTCATCCCCACCCATATTCTCCTTTTTCTCAGTGTGTCCAGAACTATTTTTGGCATTGTCCCTTACCCCCAATGAGCCCAGCAAGGCAATATCCCAGTATAAAACCAAACCCTTTCTCTGTACCTTCAGAAAATTCCATGGCTCCGGCAAACACCAGGGCTGCAAATTCTCCCACACTGAATCCAGCAGCAGCAACACAGTTCTCAATAACCTGCGGTGACAGATGCAGAATGTGAGGCCATGTTTTCAGCGGAGCTCAGTCCAGGGCTCTGCCCTTGAGAGCTGGCGGCGGCTCAGTGTTCTGTGCTCAGTGAGCCAGGTTCAGCTGGCCTGGTGTTTCAGCTAGAAGAGGACACACAGAAGTGGCATTGACAATCGCTGATCCAGCCCTTTACTGGTAAGGAACTTCCTAGCAAGGCGAGCGAAAGTCTGCTGGCTGACTCCAAGGTAAAGCTGGATTCTCTTGCCTCTGTCCCGGAGCCGTCTCTCAGGCCCTATGGAGCCAGAGGGAGCTAAGCATAGAAGCTAAGAGTATGACTTTCAGAGTCAGAGACCTGGACTTGACCTTACCCTCTTGGAGCCTCAGTTATCTTATCTGGGAAGTGGGGAAAAAGCAAGACCTACCTCACTGGGATGCTGAGGGAATTACATAAATGTCTCTAAAACGCTTAGCTCAGCGCGGGCCCAGCGTAAGCACTCAACGGATGTTATTATCATGACACAATCACTTAACTAATTCCTCTAGTATTGCTGAGTCGACTTCCCTCATTCACGAAATCACAGCATTTATCTCATAAGGTTGTTGCGAGTATGAAATGGAGTAAAGGGTTTAAAGCACTAGCTTAACATTTACTGTCTTGATATTATTAAATAATAATTCACACCTTCAAATGAAGTGACATTCTCAGATATCATCTCAATGATCACTTAAGAATGACGTTTAATCCTTCCAGAATCATTTAGTGATTAATTAAATTATTAAGGATCAGTAAAATGGCAACTCAAGCCCCTGACTCCCCAGCCCCTTTCCCTGCTCTACGTTCCTTTCTATAATACTTATCATCTTTAACGTACCATGTAACTGACATAGTTACTGCATTTATTCTTTATTATTTGTCTCCCTCCCCTAATATTCAAGCTCCCTGAGGACAGGGATCCTTGTTTGTTAATGGCTGTATCCCCAGCGCCTAGAACAGTGCCTGGAACCGAGTGGGAACTCATTAAGAATCAGCCTAACGAGTCAGACGTGGCAGGCGGAGCCTGAGGTGGGCCCCAGCCGGGCTGAGAGGGCTTGTGTCTCGGCCCGCCACGGAGCCTCACCGCAGGCTGCAGGTGATGCAGTTTCTCGACGGCAGCCAGCGAAGCCACGAAGACAGCGGGCTGGCAGTGCGCGGTGCGGTCCAGGTCCTCCTGCGGCCCGTGCAGGCTCAGCTCCAGCAGGTCGTAGCCCAGCACGCGGCGGGCGGCAGCGTAGAGCTCGCGGACGCGTGGGTAGCGGAGCAGACCGCGGCCCATGCCCACTACCTGGCTACCCTGGCCGGGGAAGAGCAGCACGGAGCACTGGCCCGGCTGGCGCCGCGCCGCCGCCTCCTGGGGCACTTCCTCCGCTGCTGTCGCATCTCGCAGCAGCTCCGCCACGTCCACTGCGCCCAGCGGAGGCAGCCGGAAGTTCGAGGCGCCGCGACGGCCACTCGTGCCCCAGCCCCAGGCCCTCACCGCCCGCGCGACCCGGACGCTCATGATGAGGAACCTGCCCCAAGCGTGTTACCGGGGCGACTGAGGCCCGACTGCGGCGGCGCATAGCGGTCCTTGGCTCATTTCCTCCCGGGCGGGCCGGGACACCCGGGGGCGGAAAGAAAGGTTCCGCAGTAACTGGTTCCGTCTCGGCTCTGAGATCCTTCACTGCTGCGTGCAGGGGCCCCGGAGTGACCTATGCGCTTACCTAAACCTAGCTGAGAATAAAACACGACATCGCACTACAATAAGCCCTCAAAAATATTTGTTGAATAAACAACACAATGTAACGTTCACTCTTTCTACCTAGCACGTGAAAAGTTCTTGAAACACTTCCGCATTCTTTCTCTTAGTGCAGACACGATTCTCCCAACTACATTGGGTGACAAGCAAGATAACGGGTCTCTTTCATGTTGCCTACAAACCAGACACAGTGCGCTGCACATAATAAACACCCAGTAAATATGTGTTCCATTGAATGAAGCCCTGGATATTTTGCAGACATTAGCTTTTTTAATTCCTTACAGCAACGCTATCATCATAGCGTTGAATGGTGCAATTATTATCCTCAATATATGGGTGAGTAGACAAAGGCTCTAAGATTGAGTGACAGGTGGTTGGAAAGTGGGGTTGGAAAGTGGAGTTCTCTGGCTTCTGAGCAGTGGTGTGAGGCTGGGTCAGAGTCTAACTCTGAGCTCACCCCTAACCACAAATCCCACTTCCCCTTGCTCCCCTCATTTCCTGCCAGCCACTTTTAAGGAACCCAAGAGACAGACAGATAGACAGACAGACACACACACATGCGTAGAATCACATCAGCAAATCTACTTTAGTGAACTTGTCCTAAGAAAAGAATTAAATGAGCCAACACCTAACTCTCAGGATATCATGGCAGCCTTGCTTTTGACAAGGGAAAAGTAGAAATAAACTGAATGTCCAACTAGGGAAGATGGATTAATTAGATAGATAGTTAAATGAATTAGGACAAATCTATGCAATGCCATAGTCATAAAAGATATGGAGGAGAGTTTCAGGTTAAGACATGAATAGAGAATACACTGCCTTCAGAAGCCCATAAATCCGCAATAAATGGACCTTTTAGAGACATAAATCCTCAAGGACAGGGAAAACAGGAAATGGGGCCCTAGCAACAGAAGCTCTGGAAGCTGAAAAGCAGGTAGACCAGTATTACCTGACTTAGCAGACTCCAGACAGCCAAACCCCTCCCGGAGGTAAGGAAAGCTGAGAACCAACCTTCATTCAAATAACAGAATCCTCAAAAGCTTAGAAACTGACAGCACTAGCTGCTTCTACTTCTAAGGATGAAAAAGGGCTAAAATAAAGAGAACTATCTGAAGGTGTCTCTAAGAAACAGATCTGTAGATCCCCTCCCTCTCTCTAGCCACTGGATGATGCCCCTTCCCCATTCTAGCAAATATCTAGAGTTTAGCTCAGGAAAGGGCTGGACATGTCAGGGACAGAGGTGAATATGGGTTCTCTGCCGAAACAGGTGGATACTGAATGCAGAGATCTCGTCCAGGGCTCTCACTGAACTTCCAGAAACCTGGAGCCAGACCCTTACCCTCAAGTCGAGGGACTGGAATACCTTGGGGGAACCTGACCAGTCTCAGAGGAAAATTCTAAAGATATTGACAGTCCAGAAAGTTCCCAGGCAAATGGCCCACCGAGTTCAACTTACAGTGAAGCTAAATCAGCGAATATGATCCATAGATTTATTTTCTTCCTCTACCAGCCAAAGATTGGCAAGGACCTGAGAAAGCCTCTTAGAAACAGAAAAAAGAAGAAAAACAACTCCACGTAGGATTCAGAGACTAAAGAAAACTAGCACCGATAGTTAAGAAAGTAAGAGAAGACACGGCATCCACGACAAAAGAACAGGAAGTAATTGAAAAAAATTCAGAAAACAAAAAATAATCCCCGGAAATGAAAAATAGGATAGCAAAATTGAAAAACTCAGCACGAGGCCAGGAAGAGAAAGCTGAGGAAACCTGAAAGAAGGTAAAGCAGAAAAGCAAAACCTGAGAAGGAGAAGAGAAAAGGAAGTTAGAAGACCAGGGGGTCCCGGATTCTGAGTGACAGGACTCAGAAAGAAAAGTGAGAAAATGGAGGGAAGAAAATCATTTAAAAAAAAAACCCGAACTTTTAATTCCTGGAAAATAAAGGATATGAGTTTCTTGTATGAAAGGGCCCCTGAGCACTGGCATGATGGATGAAATTAGACCAACGCAGAGGAATACCAGTGTGAAATTTTAGGACTCTGGGGACAAAAATCTTAAAATCCCCCAGGAAATACAAATTAGGTCACAGACAAAGGCTGGACCACATGGAGTGGCTTCAGCCTGCCAATCAGCACTGCGGCAGCTAGAAGACCATGTCCTCATGATGCCGAAGGATAAATGTCTCCAACTTTGAATTCTTACTCAACCAAACATTAATCAACCATGGGGAAGAATGCAAGATTTCGAAACGATACCTCCTATGTAGTCTTTCTCAAGAACTCCTGGAGGATGGGATGAAGAAAGGCATAGAGGTGCCATCCAGTAAATGAGCTAGCCAGCAGAGGGGTCAAGGGCATCCCCTGGGGTGGGGGGTGGCGAAGAGGGACCCAGGATGATGTGTGCACAGATGTGCAAGCAGCCAGTCCAACTGGGAGCAGCATGACTCCAGGGAGGTACTGCGGGCTGTCATCCCCAAGCTGCTGGCTGCCACTGTGCTGACTGTTTAAGAACCAAATCTTTGGTGATTGTCCACACTTGGCTGGTCTTGATCACAGGCTAATGAGATCCTGTTCTCCCCTCCATTGCCTGCTTCCTGGCTCAGCTGGGAACACTTGTTCCGCCTCACAGAAGTGTCCCCTCTACCCCTGAGGTCTGAACACAGGTGCAGCTAAGAAACAAGAAGACAAAACAACCCACACCTCTAAGCATTTCCTCCTGAATGCCTCTGCCACAACCCTGCCAGATTTGCCTCACCCCCAACCTTGCCGTCCTCCGACTGCCCCAGAAAGGGCCTTCGTCAGTGCTCCCAGTGGCTGAGGCCAGTCTGTGCCGCAGAGGCTCAGTTCAGTTTTATCTTCCTAGAGAGTCTTCTTCTGGTCTGGCCATCATGCCCGCTCTCTCCAGCCAGGTGTGTGCTGCCCCTTCACCTCTCTGAGCATGTGAGATGAGGTCAGTCCCTCGGGGATTCGGAGGGTGTTTTCCTGGCCTCCTTCTTGGATGGACTGAGGCCAGGGGTTGGGTTTGCTCGTGTTGTACCCTCCAGAGTTCAGCCCAGAGCTGGCCCCCTCTCCCCAGATGCTTAATATATATGTCCTTCAAGGTTGGCACATGCCGAATGCCTGAGAGGCTCCCATGCTTCGTCCTGTGGAGGTAAGAGGTCACCGCCAACTTAGAGTGTGGGTGGCACAGAGATGGGTTCTGGAAGAGCTTCCTGGGGTGACGCTGGAGAGCAGTCAGACTTGGACACGCGGAGGTGCCCCGAGTGGGGGTGAAAGGTGTTTTAGGCGGGGGAAACAGTGCGTGCAAAGGCACAGAGGTGGGAGAGGGTGGGATAGGCAGCTCGACCCCAGCTTGGCAGGGCCTTGAGTGCCAGGTACAAGGTACAAGGCTTGGACTATATTCTGAGGTAGTGGGAGCCTTGGAGGGTCCCGAGCAGAGGAAGGGTGTGGCAGGGACAAGAGGAGAGCTGGGGCCAGCTCGCGGCTGTGGCAGCTGCCCAGAGGAGGGACAGTCACTGCAGCCCAGGTGGGGTGGATGAGCTGGAAAGGAGGGAGGCAGAAGTCATGGGAGGCGTGCAGGCAGAGCAGGATGGGACCTTCACATCTGCACCCAGACTTGCCCGCCTCGGGCAGCAACACCCCCTCTGGGCTGCAGGGCTCCTCTGTGGAAGGGTGTGACCTTCGTGAGGGCAGAGCCTTGTGTATTTGCGCTCAGCCTCTCCCTTTGGCTCTGGCATGCAGGAAGAATTTGGGGACAGCCATCTCGGCCTCCTAGGGCGCCCCCATGAGCCGGGAGTCCTGTGGGCAGTTGGGGTGAGGGAACTTCGTTGCTTCTTCCTCCTGGGTCTTCTGTGGGAGGCAAGTGTGTCACTCAGCCAAGCCGCGGACACCTCTGTACAGGAAGAGTGTGAGAGCTGGCAGCTTGGGAGAGGCGCGGCCAGACTGCCTTCAGTAGGAACAGAGGCACAGTGCCCTGGGCCACCATACTTTGAGGGACCCAGGCAAACGTTTTAATTTATTTTAAAATCGAAGAAGAAAAAGATGGATGAGTTCCAACCTGGATTATACTTGTTCTCATACCACTGCAGTCACAGGTGGAAGGGGCCCACAGAGGCGAAAATGCCAGGGCCTATGAAAGTCAGACTGTGGCCCAGGAGGCTCCAGGCCACTGTGACTGGGGAGCAGCAGTTGCAGTTCACCTTGGCCCCCAGAGGACCAGTTAGGGCAATTATGGCTCCTACAGGCTGAGGGCCCTGCCAGACCAAGTCAGCCCCAGGTGGCCAAACAGACCTTGGCTGCAGTAATAAAGCAGCGTGTAGATGGGGAGGTGAGGTGCCCGAGGCCCGGGGCTAGACATGCCCGTCCCACTGGGGTGTCCCTGGCAAACAGGAGGCCACCTCTCCGCTGTGATGCTGGGAGCCACCTCTCACTGAGCACCAAGCATCTGCAGAGCGCCCCGCCTGCATCCCAGCGCAGCATCCCCATCCCACGATGATATCCCTATTTACAGATGAGAGACGGAGGCTGCGCCCGGACAAAGTGCAGCGGGCAAGTCTGGGTGCAGATGTGAAGGTCCCATCCTGCATCACAGGCGGGCAAGTCTGGGTGCAGATGTGAAGGTCCCATTCTGCATCACAGCGCAGCATCCCCATCCCATGATGATATCCCTATTTACAGATGAGGGACGGAGGCTGCGCCCGGACAAAGTGCAGCGCTGCCTCCGTGTCCTGGGGCAACAGCTAGAGGAACTAGGGTGCTCCTCCGGAGATGGGGGGCCAGGCCGCTTTGTAGGAGGATGTCCGGGGCTTTGGCATCAGGCGACGTAATGTCCCTTTCTGAGCTCCGTTTCTGTTGCCCCATTTTACAGATGGGATAAGAGAGGCTCAAGAAGAGGTCACACAGCTGGAATGCGGCGTGGGCCCGGCCTGCGTGAGGCGGTCACGGTAGGAAGAAGCGGCCGAGGGGCCCGCACGCGGCGGGGC